GGCAGGGCCGGGACCCTGGCCAGGGGCAGGCCTCGGAAGCTGTCCGGGGCTGCGCAGCTGATGGAGTCCCGCTCGGGGATGGAGATGAGGGTGTTCTCGGCCCAGCCCTTCAGCCACAGGAGCGCGCAGGTGCAGTTCAGTGGGTTGTTGTAGATCTGCAAGTGGGACAGCGACGTCAGCGAGTCGAAGGTGCCCTGGGCGATGGTGGCGAACTCGTTATTGTTGATGCGCAGGGAGCGGAGGTCGCGCAGGGTGCGGAACGCGTCCGCGGGCAGCCTCGCCAGCTGGTTGTTGTTCATCTTCAGCAGCTGCAGGGCGCTGAGGTTGTGCAGGTCCCGCCAGGGGAAGTCCGCCAGCTGGTTGTGGCTCAGGTCTATGTTTTTCAAATGCAGTAGGCCCGCCTCGATGGCGCTGATCTCGTTGTGCGCCAGCCAGAGCGAGCTGACCTGGGTGACCTCCAGGAAGGAGCGCTGCTGCAGGGCGTGGAGCCTGTTGGCCGACAGGGTGAGGGTGGTCACGTTGGAGGGCAGCCCCGCGGGCACCTCCTGCAGGTCTCGGTAAGCACACTCTGCGAGTTGGCGGCCAAACTTTTTTTCTACACAAGTGCAGGGCTCTGGGCAGCCCTGGCTCACCCCGAAGAAAGCTGCAATCCACATGCAGAGAAATGGAGCCATCGTTTCTCCTGCGGACGAGAGACCAAGAAGGGCCCAGGTTATTTTGCTTCCATCGTTTCTCTGCGACATCGCTCTCCTATCCTCTGGGCTGCAGCTTTGAGCAGCCGTTTCCCCTCCGGTTCTCGTTGACCCTGGCGATGGAGGCTAAGCTCCCACCCGGGGCTAGCTGTCATTGCTGGACTGGTAAGTCGGACGAGAAGGAGATTTAAATCTCAGCCCAGTGAGGCATTTCCACTGGACCCAGACTAGAGCCCAGTGACAAGGAGGCGTTGGGTCTGCAGATCAGACTAGCACGGCTCCCCTGGGACGAGAAGCCCGGTTCTCGTTGACCCTGGCGATGGAGGCTAAGCTCCCACCCGGGGCTAGCTGTCATTGCTGGACTGGTAAGTCGGACGAGAAGGAGATTTAAATCTCAGCCCAGTGAGGCATTTCCACTGGACCCAGACTAGAGCCCAGTGACAAGGAGGCGTTGGGTCTGCAGATCAGACTAGCACGGCTCCCCTGGGACGAGAAGCCATCGCTCCGAAATAACTTTGAGGGCCTGAGCCTTTCTGTTGGCAAAGCCCTATCACTCAGCTGCGCCCCTAGCTGCCACTGGGGTGAGAATAGCTAATCCTACATAGAGCAAAACCGACTCCCGTTTCCCTCTGCTTCAGCTTCACATGCGAACACACAGAGCCCTTGGTTTCTACAGCCCGTTTTACCTTCCTTCCCGGCACTGTCCAGAAACCATGACGGGACTGGAGTCACGGAGGCGTGGGGGGCGCTCCCGGGACGGGGGCACTGGCATGGAGGTCCAGGCAGGCCAGGCGGTGAGACAAGGGGGAGTTGTAAGGGCGCTCCAATATGAAACCAGAGAAAAGGCTCTTGAGAGTCTTTGGGTTAAGTTTAAAGGCCAGAAGCACACGGGTGGTGTCATGGTGGGTGTCTGCTGTACGCCACCAGAGCAGGAGGAAGAGCTAGACAAGGCTTTCCTTGGACAACCAGCAGAAGTTTGTAAATCACAGGCCCTGGTTCTCATGGGGGACTTCAGTCTCCTTCACATCTGCCGGGAGAGCAAGGCAGCCGCGCATGAGCAATCCAGGAAGTTTACTGGAGAGGGCTGGGGACAACTTCCTGGTGCAAGTGCTGCAGGAGCCAGCCGGGGGGACACTCCTTTTGCCCTGCTGCTCTCAAACGGGGAGGAACTAGCAGGGAGCTAGAAGTGGGTGGCGACCTGGGCAGCAGTGGCCATGGGCTGGTTGAGTTCAAAGGCCAAAGGAAGGAAGAAGAGCCACAGACTACAGACCCTGGACTTCAGAAAAGCAGCTTTGACCCCCAGAGACCTGATGGGCAGCATCCCCTGGGAGGCTACTGTGAAGGGGAAGGTGGCCAGGAGAGCTGCTGTATTTTAAAGGAACAACCCATCCCAATAATAGCAGATAGGAATGGAAGGAAGAGCAAATATGGCAGGCGACCTGCTTGGCTTAACAGTGAAATCTTTAGTGACCTTAAACGCCAAAGGGAAGCTGAGACGTGGAACCCTGGACAGATGACCAGGGGGGAGGAGAATTACAGTGCGTACGCGTGCAGGGGTGCACTCCGTGAGCGCAAAGTGCAGTGGGAGTTGCCGCTGGCAAGGAATGTGACGATGTAGCAAGAACAGTTTCTCCAGGCATGTTAGCAGGAAGAGGGTGACCAAGGAGAGGGTGGGGCCCTTACTGGCTGAAGAAGGTAACCCAGTGGCAGATGATGTGGGATACGCCTTTTTTGCCTTGGACTTCACAGACAAAGTCAGCTCCAGGCTGCTGCACTGGGCACACAGTGAGGGGAGGAGGTGGGCAGGCCTCAGTGGGAAGAACAGGTTAAGGACGACTTAGAAAAGCCAGACATGCACAAGACCACAGGGCCAGGTCTCATGCATCTGAAGGCGCTGAGAGAGTTGGCTGATGCAATTGCAGAGCCAATCCCAGACAGCTGGGAGAAGTCAAACATGGTGCCCAAGTTTTAAAATGGGGTGGGGAATCATTTTTGATGGGGGCAGGCACTCCAAGCTTTTGGTAAGTAGTCAAAGGCAGCACTTTTCTATGGAGAGGGCGTGGGGCCTGGGACGGAGGTTGGGTGCAGAAGGGAGCTTGGGGTAAGGGACAGGAGTGCAGGAGGGGGTTGTGACCTGGGGCAGAGGACTGGGGTGCAGAGTGGGTGGGGGATAGGGGTACAGGCCTGGGAGAAAGATTTAGGAGGGGAGGCAGGGTCAGGGAGGGAGCTGACCATGGGGTGGGGAGGATACAGAGGGTTTGGATGGAAACGTGGGGCAGGGAGCTGGTGTATGGAGGGCGATGATGAGGGTCCCAGTGGGGTGGGCCAGAGACTGGATTAAAAGACATGGCCAGCCAGGAGCCATCCCACGCCTGTTTTTAAAAGACCCAAAAGAGAATCTGGGGAACTACAGCCTAGTCAGTCTCACCGGAGTCCCTGGAAGTCAGGGAGCAGATCCTCAAGGAATCCATTTTGAAACACTTGAAGGAGAGCAAGGTGATCAACATGGATTCACCACGGGCAAGTCATTCCGGAGCAACTTAAATGCCCTCTCTGAGCTAACTGGCTCTGTGGGTGTGGGGAAGGTGGTGGGCATGATATACCGTGACTGTAGCTAAGCTTTCATACTGTCTCCCACGGTGTTCTTGTCAGCTGGCTACAGTCGTATGGAACGGACTGCGAGGTGGATAGAAAGCTGGCGAGATCGTCGGGCTCAGTGGGCAGCGATCAACGGCTCAATGGCTGGTTGAGCTGGTATCAAGCAGAACTTCCCAGAGGTTGGTCCTGGGGCTGGATTTGTTAAGCTCTTCTTTTGAAACACTTGAAGGAGAGCAAGGTGATCAACATGGATTCACCACGGGCAAGTCATTCCGGAGCAACTTAAATGCCCTCTCTGAGCTAACTGGCTCTGTGGGTGTGGGGAAGGTGGTGGGCATGATATACCGTGACTGTAGCTAAGCTTTCATACTGTCTCCCACAGTGTTCTTGTCAGCTGGCTACAGTCGTATGGAATGGACTGCGAGGTGGATAGAAAGCTGGCGAGATCGTCGGGCTCAGTGGGCAGCGATCAACGGCTCAATGGCTGGTTGAGCTGGTATCAAGCAGAACTTCCCAGAGGTTGGTCCTGGGGCTGGATTTGTTAAGCTCTTCATTAATCTGGATGAGGGGATGGATTGCACCCTCAGCAAGTTTGTGGATGATACTAATCCAGGGGGAGAGGTAGATACACCAGAGGGCAGGGATAGGGTCCAGAGTGACCTGGGCAGATTAGAGGATTGGGCCACAAGAAATCTGATGAGGTTCAACAAGGACAAGTGAAGAGTCCTGCACTTGGGACGGAAGAATCCCAAGCATTGTTACAGGCTACGAAGTGACTGGCTAGGTAGCAATTCAGCAGAAAAGGCCTGGGGATTGCAGTGGATGAGAAGCTGGATATGAGGTAACAGTGTGCCCTTGTAGCCAAGAAGGCGAATGGCATATTGGGGTGCATTAGGAGGAGCATTGCCAGCAGAGCCAGAGAAGTGATTATTCCCCTTTATTTGGCTCTGGTGAGGCCACATTTGGAGTATGGGCCCCCCCACTACAAAAAGGATGTGGACACACTGGAGAAGGTCCAGCAGAGGGCACCCAAAATGCTGAGGGGGCTGGAGCACATGATCTATGAGGAGAGGCTGAGGGATCTGGGTTTGTTTAATCTGCAGAAGCGAAGAGCGAGGGGGGATTTGAGAGCAGCCTTCGACTTCCTGAAGGGAGGTTCCAAAGAGGATGGAGAGAGGCTGTT